TGGGGTTCTGGGGACTCAGGGTGTTGGTGCAAGTGGGGTGGGTCAGGGATACTGGGGGGGCATCAGGGATACTGGGGGGGCCTAGGGAGGATTGTGTGTCTGGTGGTGGTTCAGCATTCCCAAGGGTGGATGGGGGCCCCTGGGTCTCCAAAGTCACCCCTCCAGTTTTCCTTTGCAGATGCCAGGAAGCACCAGGAAAGGTGAGGGCAGGCTCCAGCCTTTTACCCAAACCCCCAGCACCTCCCATCCCCTTCCACATATCCCCTTATTCCAATAGGGCCCCCCCAGACCCCCTGGCACCCCCGCTGGAGGATCCTCAGGGGACGTACATGGAGCTGCAAAGGCAACCGTGGGAACCCAGTGACATCTGTGACAATCTACACCAAAAGTTGTGATGCTCTGGGAAGCAGGAGGCACTGGGTGACACTGGGGGTGCTCCCTCCATGGCTCCTGTGGTTGCCCATCCTTCCAAGGGAGGTGGTCATGGGTCAGGGGGAGGCTACACACGGCACCCTGTGCTCCCCATTTCCTCTCCCACTACCCCCAAAGGGCTCCCCCATCCCTTTGCTCGTACCTGCAGGGGCTCCCCAGCCCCATCCAAGTGCCCAAGTACCCTCAGGGACTGCCCCATTCTCTCCCCACAGTGCTTGCAGTACACCCAGGGTTTCCCCATTCCCCCTCCCACTACCCCTGTCCCATCCCACTGTAGAAGGGGGAGTCGGGGAGGATTCTTTCTGAAAGGTTTCTCAAATGAAAATGAAGCACAAACATGGCAATATTATATCTGGGAACTGTTTATTGATAAAGGAGGGTAAGGGTTCTTACTGAAGGGGTAGAGAAGGGAGTAGAAAGGGAAAAGGACAGAGAGAGAAACAGAAGACAGGGACAGCATTAACCCAAGAAGCCCAGGCGCTCTGTGGGCATCAGCTCGGCAGATGGAGTGTGTGTGCTGCAAGCCAGGGCGAGCCCACATGGCTTTTGTGAGTGGCTGGGCGTGATTTCCAAGGACGGCACCTGCGTGTCTCTGGCATTGCGAGCGATGGCTGCAGGGGCTGCTGCGGGCTGGCTGCGGGCTGGTGCTGGGCACTGGTGGCTCTGGGCTGGCTGCCGCGGGCTGGGGCTGCCGTGGGCAGGTGCAGCAGGCTCGGGGCTGTGGGCAGCGTGGGAAACGCGGCAGAGGCGGCGGGTGGGTGCAGGCAGCATCCCTCCATCGGGGAAGCGATGAAGGAACGTCCAGGAGGAGCAGGAATGAGCTGCCTCGGGGAAGCAGCGAAGCAGGGAAGAACGGGTGCAGACAGGGAAGAAGGATCACTGGGAGGAAAAGGTGAGGGGGGGGAGTATCGGTGATATTTTTGCCTGACAACTGGGAGGAATGATGCATCTGACTCCATCTTATCAGAAGGCTAATTAATTACTTTATTATACTATATTATTCTAGATTATATTACATCTAAATTGAATCTGCCAAGCACTCAACTGCACTCCACTGCACACAATCTCATGACTGTCAGCTGACAGTCCTGACACACGCACATCTGGATTCAATTGGTCAGTGAATCAAAACACTCACACCAGAGTCCAATTACCAATTCCCTTCAGGTAAACAATCTTCCACAATGCATTTCACTTGTGAAAAACACAGGAGCAGTAACTGAGATAAGAATTGTTTGGATCATTCTTTGTTTCTCTCACTGCTTCTCCCAGTTTCAGAGAATGTGAATCCTGCAGGGGAGGAGGGCCAAGCTGACCCTCTGAGCAAGCCCCGATCCCTCCAAGAAACCCAAATCAAAACACTCCTGTTGTTTGCTGTCACAGTTTGCTGCTTTTATTTGCCAAGGCTCCTCCCACAGCCCGATTTCCCGGGCATTTTTTCCCAGACATTTTTCCCGGGCATCTGTCCCACCAGCCAGTGCGGGTCACTCACAGCCCAATCACTGAATCTTTCTCTCCCCTGATTCTCTGTTGTGTGAAGCCTCGCCAGGGACAGGGTTCCCAGCACATGGACAACCACATAGTAATTATTCAGTCATGTGTAGCATATGTTAAGACGTAAATAAAATTGAGATTTGTTCCTCTTAACCCCAGTGTGCTTAGTGGCTCTGCAATCCCCCTCCCAGTGCTCCCACTAAGGTGGCTTACTGGTGCCCGTCCCAGTTCCAAGGGGGCACAGGACCTGGTTCCCTGCTCCTGAGACAAAAATGCAGCTCTTTGGTTACATGGGCAGAAATGGTGTTTCTTTGTTCAGCTCTGTCAAGGAAACTGAACAAGGTGGGAACCTCCCTTGGAATGGAAAATACTACCCCAATTTCTTTGAACTATTATAATTTTGAAATTATGGGGTTTTTAGGCAAAGATGTGGGAACAGGAATACAGTTCTTTACTGGTATGTATTGTGAGAAACAAGTAAATGGAAGTTGACTTTTGCTGGATAATATATGAATTGATATTACATTATTGATTATATTGTTGATTAAATATTGTGATGTTGTAGGGACAGTGATGTGTATTGTGGAGTGGCTGATGTTGTTGGGGTGGCCATCCAAGAGTGGGGCCCAGCCATGGCCCAGCCCCACTGCACAGGGATGGCCATTGCCCAGCCCTGCTCTGCCCAGCCCCAGGTGGCAGCCAGCACCTGAGGGTCTCCCCGGCCCCCTTGGCTTTGATTCTGGCAGCTTTAGAGCTGCTGCAGAGGTGAGAATTCTATGAGGGAAAAGGCCTGGCTGTGGTTTGCTCAGCCCTGCAAGAAGCACAAACCCCAAAGGGAGGCCAAGCAGGATCTCTGAGAGGGCCTGTGATGGTTTTCAGAGCAGGGCTGGCTGAAAACTGCCCCTGCAGGGGCAGCTGAGAGGGAACCAGTCTGGAAATGCAGCAACTGATCATCTGTTCCTCTTGCTAAGGGACTAAGAGAGCCCTAGAACTACTGAAATCCCACAACAATCTGCTCAACTAGCTGACCTGCACCATCCTTCTTGAACAAAATCTGCAGCCTTCTGGAACCTCCTGGAAAGAATGTTTGGCCTCAGGCTGTGGCCATCAGATAAGAGGAAAAAGTGTGGAAATATTGAGCAGGGGGTCTGGGCACAGCTCTGGTGGAGCTCTGGGGAGTGACCCTGTCTGCATTCCACATGTCCCCAAAGCTGCTCCATCCCTGCCCTCCTCATCTGAGTGAAAAACTGAGGCTTTACGGGAATTGTGTTTTAAAGCCACCAGAGGTGCTGCTGTGGACCCGAGACCTGCCTGGGGTCGGGTGCTGCCTTCCTTCCATTGGGATCATGGAGAGGGTTTGCGGGTGTTGCGCAGGGCCTGTGCCTGGCCCCGGGACACTGCTACGCTGCCAGTGGGCACTGGGATCCAACCTGCTGCCTTGGTGGCTTCTGCCCGCTGCCGGTGGTAGTGCCGGGACCGATTGGTGGCCGTGAGTTTGCAAAAGGAGCGATTTGCCCTCCTCCCTCCCGCCCGAGGCCGCCATGGCCCCTGAGGGGATGGAGCTGGAGCGGGGCGCCCCCTGCTGGCCGGGAGTGCTCCCTGCAGCGGCCCCTGCTGGCCGCGGTTATAACTGCCACAAAAACCAACAGCGCTGAGCGGGAGGGAAAGTTCTGGGTTTGTGTTGTTTCTTCTGTTCTGGTTTATAATTTTCTTAGTAAGGAGCTGTTATTCCTTTTCCTACAATTTGGCCTTGAAGCTCCATAGTCTTTGAAGTTAAAAAAAGTTTTAGACATGGGTCTTCTTTCCTTTCCAATAACGTTCCCACTTTCCTTGGCAGATATTTCTCATTTAAATGAGTTACCACCTCCTGGTTTCCAGAGTGGATGGGACAGACACCCAGAGAGGAGACAGGGTCAGGGACTTGGCCACCTCATGATCTGCTTTTTAAGCCAGTTGGGCCACCAAGGGCCCTCTCCATAGCTGGCACTTCTGATCACATGGCCACTCAGGAGCTGGCTTTTGCAGAGCTTCAAACTGTCCCCATTGTGCCATGGTTGACAGACTGATGGACAGGTGGAACCCTGTCTCACCAAAAGCAAGGCCTGACTCACCCCTGCCACACAAAGCTGTTCCAAAATGTCTCCAGACATCAAACTTTTCCTGTCTCTGACACCCCACCCTGTGCCATGGCCTGATCCTGACTGCCCTGGAAAAGGGGGAGGCTCTGGAGACCCCACAGGGCCTTTGTGACATCATCATGTAAGGAACACAGCAGAGGAGGGGTTTGGGACAGGGGACAAGAGAATCCAGAGCCTCCTGAAGGCCGCTTTGGCCCTCAGAGCAAGGAAGGTCCAGGGCCCTGCCAGGTTCCTCTGCTGTAGGAAACGTGCTGGTGTTTTGCAGAGATATAGTTAAAAACTACAACTTTTGTGAAAGTTGTAAAGCCGGTATGTTTATTACAGCACTGGACGCTGGACGCATGTGGGAATCGCATGTGGGAATCGCTGGATGCATGTGGGAATCGTTCTTCTAAAATGTCATGCATACTTTTGGGAACTTCAGGTCTTTTTCTATCTTTCTTTCATATACATATGCATACAATTTCACAATAGGTTCATACATATTCATTTTTACAAATTTCGCATGACATTTGCTGCTAGTTCTTCTTTATCAGAAAGAATTCTTAGGTCATGTTGACTTGCTCTCACAGTAATCTCTGTCTCTTTCTATCACTTTTTGTCTCTCTTATCTTTGTCTTTCACTGAGCAACTTCACTGAGCTTAGGTTCTGCAGTCATGCTAAATAGCTATAGTTTCTAACTACAGACTCAACTTAAAAATGTACATTTCACTTAAATCAAAATAGATTTCTACCTTAGAAAATTTTTACTTTGTCTCACTGGGGGAAATATCTGGGGTTTGTTCCTTTTTGGTGGCTTTCCAAGGAAATCGTTCCTTTTTTGACCATTTAGACTCTGCACCTTGTTGCTGTTGCTCTTGGTTTTATTCTCTCTCATTGTTGTTTCAGGAAATTGTTCTTCTCTCAGCTCTTTGGCATCTTTGTACCCCCACGGGGAGGGATTGGGGCAGTTTTTAGTGGCAGCACAGACACGAGTGGGTGCCCATGGGTGGGGACCCCCAGTGCCCCCAGTTCCCCCCAGTGTCACAGCACATTCCCGTAGATGTCACCGGGTTCCCGCGGTCGCCCCTGGGGTCCCCGCAGCTCCGCGTTGGTCACCTGGGGATCCTGGAGGGTGGTGGCACAGTGGGACGCTGCGAGAGACACGGGCTGTGGGATCTGGGTGGGGTGACACTGGTGGGTGACGTGTCCCTCTGCGTGTGTCCCCCCCGTACTCACCCCCTGCCCTCTTGGTGACCACGACGTGGGTGTACAGCACCTCCCCCTCCTCTGGGGGGGCCAGGGCATCCGGGGGGGGGCCCTGAGGGAATAAAGGGGGTGTGGGGGAGGGAATGGGAGGTCTTGGGGGTTGGGGTAAAATAGAAGACTGTGGTTTGAGCCCCCCACTCACCTTTCCTGTTGCTTCCTGGCATCTTCAAAGGAAGGAATGGATGGAAGACTGTGGGGTCCCTGGGCCCTGAAGCCTGTCAGGATTCCTGAACTCCCATGGTACCCCCTAGCATTCCTGAAGCCCCCCAGAAATCATGAACCTCTCCAAACCCCCCGACCAAGTCAGCCTCAGCACCCAAAGCCTGCCAAGGACAGAAAATCCCATCACACCCAGGGCCCCTGAAAGAACTCCCAACATCCCTGCAGGACATTCCAGCACCTCACCATACTCTACAGGACCCCCAGACAAGGTCACAATTTTGGGGCTGTGGGTGTGATGGGATTTTCTGTCCTTGGCTTCCTGGGACCCCCTATCCCCTATTGTCACCTACCCACACGGTGCCACCAGTGCCAGGTCACTATGACAGCCATGAGGAGGAGCAGGAACAAAAGGGCCCCACCAACTCCTGCGGCCACTGCAAGAAACAGAAGGGGACACATCAGGGTCATCCATCCCCCAGGGGTCCTGCACTCCCAGGTGACCCCCACCTGTGTGACCCCACCTGTGACCCAGGGTGAGTGAGAGGTGACCTCGAGGGTCAGCTCTGGGCTGGGCGCACAGAATACGTGGTTCCTGTCAAGCTGGTTGGTGGCCACGCACTGGTAGGTGCCTGAATGTCCCACTTCAACAACATCGAGATCCAGGAGGGACCCTGAGACACTTCCTGCCTGTTGTGCAGCCAGGTGAAGGTGACAGGGGCTGACCCCACCTGCACTGAGCAGTGCAGGGTCACGTTGTCACCTGCACGCACCTGGTGTGACAGGGGACTGAGGGTGATGGTGGCAATGGCAACGGGCACTGTGGGGACAGAGACAGGGCTGGCACTGGGCGAGGTGGGTTGGGGGATGCTGTGGGAAAGGTAACCACCAGCCTGAGGGTCCCACTCACCCAGGATGGTGACATTCAGGGGGTCACTCTCAGCCACACTGTCCCCGTCACTGACCCTGCACCGGTACTGGCCGCTGTCATTGTCCCCAGCGTGGCGCAGCTCCAGGCGGGGGCCGGTGCCAGGCAGTGCCCCCGAGCCCTCCCAGTGCCAGGAGAAGGACAGGGGACCTGTCCCCATGGCCACTGCGCAGTTCAGCACCAGGCTGTCCCCGAGTGCCACCTGTCCCCTGGGGGGCTGTGCTGACAGGGACACCCCCGAGGGCGGGACCCCTGCAGGAGACGGGGACACCAGGGAGCAGTAAGGGACCCAGTGGGTTTGGGGAGGGGCAGGTGAACTCCAGTGAGGGAGAGGGGGCGCAGAGATTGGGGGAAGGGGGCTTAGAAAGGAACCTCGAGGGATGCTGGGGAGGTCAGGGAGGGAACACCTGGAGAGGGAGGTGGGCAACACCAGGAAGGGTATGGGGACCCAGGGAGGGGATGCTGTGACCTGCGGAATGTGCAAAGACCTCAGAGAGGGGTGTAGGGACCCAGGGATGGGTGTGGGGACCCAGTGTGGGATGGAGGGGAACACGAGCCAGGAATGGGGGGACCTTGGGAGAGACCCAGGGCAGCAATGGCAGGACATGGAAACGGTACCAGGGAAGGATGGGGGCACCCATGTAGGGGCTGGGGGTCCCGGGGAGGGACCCAAGAAAGGAGGGTGGGAGCCAGGAAGCGATCCGGGAAAGGTTGGGTACCCCAAAGCAGGCGTCAGGGAGGGCTGGGCGATGCCAGGCAGTGTGGGGGACCCAAGGAGGCTGTGGGGGCTCCCCGTGCCCATCCCCACACTCACTGCGCACCGTGACGCGCAGCCGGGTGCTGCTCTTCTGCACGGCCCCCCCCTTGGCGTGCACCTCACAGCCATAATTCCCCAAGTGGGAGACCCCCACGGTGGGCACCAGCAGCTGCGGGGACCCCTGCGGGCCCCCCACCACCTGCCTGTCCTGGTAGAACACATGCAGGAGGGGGGCTCGGGGCCGCAGGGGGCTGGGGCTGCTGAGGCAGCTGAGAGTCAGGGGGGACCCCTTGGTGAGCTTGGGGGGACCCTCCAGTACCAGCACCATGAAGAGCTCTGGGAAGGAGAGGGGAGGTGAGGAATGTGGCTCTGAGTCCGCTAGCAAGTGGCTTTGGGGTTGTCAAGATATTGGAGTTCCAGCCATGGGAGTACTCACCGTGCACTGTCACTGTCACTGGTGCTGACCGTGACTGCCAGGACCTCACCAAGTCTGCACAGCGGTAGTGGCCGCTGTGGTGCAGCTGCAGGGGGGACAGGGACAGCTCAGTCCTCCTGAGGGACCCCCCAAGATCCTTCTCCTCCTGGTATATTCGTACCCTGCTGAGATGGTTTTCCTGCCAGCACCGGCAGTGCAATGTCACTGTGTCCCCCTCCAGCAGTGCCCGTGCTGGCACCTGCAGCACCAGTGGTTCTGTGGGACAGGAAGGTCACATTTTCACCAACCATTCTGAGGTTGGTGCCCATAGCACCAGGGACATCTGGGTGCTCTGGAGTGCACTGGGGTGCACTGGGATATCCCTGTGTGCAGGGCACAGGCTCTCGCCACACAAGGGGTGTGAGGCCACCCATGGAATGGCGCCCACCCTGACCTCTTAGGGGACAGCCTGATGATTTAAGATCTCCCCTCACCTTCTATGACTGTAATGAGGGGGCTGCGCCTGGTTCCAGGACAGTCACATGTGTAGGTGCCTCTCTCTGTGACACTGAGGCAGTCATGTCCCTGCTGCCCCCAGCGCCGCCCATCCTTGTACCAGGTGGTGGCACTGGCGGTCCCCAAGCCCTGGCAGGTCAGTGTCACCCGGTCCCACAGCACCGCCGGCCTCCAGGGGGGCTCCACCAGGAGCTGGGTGGTCTGGGCACCTGCAGGTGACAGGGGACACCAGCCTGCCAGGGCCAGTGTGGGACTGGGGACAGTGGGGTGAGGCCATGGCATCCCCTGAGGACTCACCAGCAAGGCCAAGGGTCTGGGCTGGAAGGGAGAAAGGACAGGGCTGGGTTGGGTGTGGCACCATGGGGATGGCAGCATCAGGGTACAGGGTGTGGTGGCTGTCCCAAAACTGTCCCAATGGGGACAGCAGTTCTTGTGGGAAAGTGTGTGTGGGTCATCCCAAAAAGATTTGGAGAGGCAGAGGGACATGTCTGTGTCACAGCCACCCGTGCACCATATCCATGTGGCACAGACACCTTGGGAACAGGGACACCGTGGCCACCCCAGGCTGATGGAACAGAACATGGGGACACTGTAGACACCCTGGGCACGATGACACCACAGACACAGCCCATGCTGGTCCAGCTCACCCCCACCAGCTCATGATCCCTTCCCCATGGCCAAATCCTCACTGTTCTTATCCCTGCATCCCAGTTCCCTTGTCCCTATCCCCAGAGCTACCTGAGCCCAAAGGTGCCAGTTCCCAAATTCCTGTCCCCTGTTCCTGTTCCCAAAGCTCCCCTACATCCCCAGTCACACCAAGGTCCACTGTGGGTAACATGGACTGGCACTGCTGGCATTGGGGACCTCAGGGGACCCCACAGCCCCCCTGTGCCCCCTCTCCTCCCCATCCCTGGGGTGTCAGGCCCGTGCCCGGGACACTCACCCCACAGGAGCAGCGCCACCTTCATGGCCATCCCAGTGTCCCCAGCCGTGTGCACTGGCTGTCACTCGCTGCTGTGGCCACCGCTCCCCTGGCTGGCGGCTCATTAGATGAAGGGGAAGGAAGCGAGGTCAGGTCTCAACCTCATGCATAGGTGGCCCTTGATGGGGGAAGGGTGGGGACAGGCTGGGGACACGGGTGGGTGGGAGAAAGTGGTTCGTGGGCTTTCCAGGAGTGGGGGGCGTGGTGGGTTTGGGGAGGCAGAAATGGGGTCACTGGGAAATGGAGGTGCTGAGTAGGGGGATTAACCGGCGATGGGGGTGCCATGGGAATGGGTATTGCCATAGCTGGGGGGTCTTATGGATGGGAGTCCTAGAGGAATGTGGGCTCCAGGGATTTGAGTTCATGGGATGGTGGAATGGTGGGTCCTAGTAGGATTTCAGGGAATGGCATGAACAGGAGAGGGTTCCTTTGGAATGGTGTGCTCGGCCATGGAGATCCTGGGGAATGTCTGTTCTGGGATGGGGGTTGCAGAGAGGGTGGGATATAAGGAATGGGGGTTCCATGTTTTGGTTCCCAGGGGAATGGGGGTGCCAGGGATGGGCAGTGGTTGGGTTGGGCCTTGGGTCGCAGCTCCTTCCCTGGATGCCTCAGATTTTGGGGTGATCCAGAGCCAGCACAGTCCCCACAAGGTGCCGGTGGCCTGGGCATCACCCCAGACAGATTCCAAGGGGCTCTAGGTCTGTGCCCCCCAGCCTCCAGTTCCTTTCCCTGCTCTTCATTTCCATTTCCATTTCCATCATTTTACTCCTCAATTTCACAAGCCCCCAGTTCATGCCTTGATGATCCTGGGTAGCACCTGAGCAGGGAACATGTTGGGGGAAGCCCAGAGTGGGAGAAGCAGGGGTGAGGGGTCTGCTGGGAGGGCAGGGGAGGCTGTGGGGCATGGGGGTGTCCAGCTTTCACACCCCCAACACATTTACTTTCTCTCTCCGGCTGAGGAATGTAGTAAATCCCATGGACCTAGGTAAAGCCGCATGGAGGATCGAACAATAGGAACTGCTGAGACAGCAGAATAAGTTCCTGTCTCTCTGACCCCCGCCCCAAAGCTTATCTCTGTAACCCTATAGGCCACTATACATAACCCTTACTATTGGTAAAATTTGGATTCCCCTTTACCCTATAAAAGGGGCATACTTTAGCCCATTCAACAGAAGAAGAGCTGTCGTTGGAACCTTCAAGGCCTCCTGTTGTAGCGGCGGGAGAGATGCGACACACCATATGCGATGAATAGCAAATCTCGAAGTTTATTGAAACTCTACACATATTTATATTAGTGTTAATGAAGCTTATACATATTGCAAAAGCTGAGCTCATTATTGGTTAAAGCACACTTAGATCAAACACACCTACTTCTATCTCTTAACAATTATTTTGTTTCTATGTGTACATTCTTCTAATTTCTCTACCTTGGGATAGCTACATTTTCTGGCAAGCAATTTTCTCTCCCGTCTTCCCGTTTTAGAGAAGGTCACTGTGACCTTCGTCAGTAATTAAGCACCGGTTGCTCAGTTCTCAGCTTGTTTCTCTTACCCTTATCCATCGGTATCACATCAGAATGTCTTCTCTCAGCTAACTAATTATCCAAAAATCTCTCTACAGCCTCCCTTGCAATATACATCGCTGTGGAACCTCAAGACGCTCCCTTCTCCTCTCTCGCCATCTGCTGCAGCCGCAGCCAAGGGCGCCCTACCTAGCAAGCAAGAGCTGATATCCTAAGAGAGCTTGCAAGCACTAAAGAGCTGATAATCACCAAGCTTGCTAGAGGGTAGCCCCACGGCGATCAATCGGCGTCGAGCTAGCCTAGCTTTTGGGCACCCTGTCTCCCTGAGGACAGGGCTCCCGGGCTATCTTGCACTGCTTGATAATAAGGCCAGAATAGAGGCTTTATTATACGTGGCGACCCGACTCGACGACGCGGCCCCCTCCCCCCCCAGCCTCCCCATTGGAGGCGAAACTCATCGATTGAGCAGCGGATCCCCCGCTCCTCCTGCGAAGAGGCCTCTCCTTTTTAGAAGAAACCTCTCCTCTGGAGGCGTCAGTTCAACACTCAAAATTTACATCTGAACGACAAAAAGTTCCGAGGAGAACTGACGGAAGCAGATGCCTTCACGCAGATTTTTGGACCCCAACTCAACTGAAGAAGTGTAAGTATTAAATTAGCTACTATTGCACGCATTTGTTCTGGGTCCTGAACTCTTTTTTTTTTTTTCTTTTTTTTTCTCGTTTTTTTTCTGCTGGAAGGGCTAAAATTAACATGGGTACAATTTTTAGCACTTTAAAACTAACTAAAATCGAGAGTGAAATATATTTAATTATCTTAGAAATTTTATCTGCTATCAACTTTTCTTTTTCCAATGTCAAGCTCTCTAAAAATAACCTTGAAAAATTTGTAAGACGGTTTCTTTCGCAATACCCTGAAACTGGATCACTGAAAATTTGTTTTGGGACAAAATTGGGAACAAAATCTATAACTCACAAACTAATCGATTTTTCTGTATCTAAGTATTTACCTTTATTCCATATAATAACTAAAACCATTGAAAAATTTAACCGAGAAAAAATCTTAACGCTAGCAACAGACACTTCCTTTTCAAATGCTAATTACACTGATAAGCATTCTCAGGAACGTAGCTCACATCCGCTAGGTCCTAAAATTCCCCTCGCCTCTGCTTCTCCAGAGGCTACGCTGCCCACCCCAGCCCCCGCCCCCACCTCCCCCCCGTCTGTGGGATCTGCGCCGCCCAACACGCCAGCCCCTGCCCTAACTACAACTGCAGCTATTCTCTCTCCCTCTGGCTTGGCTTACCCCTCGCCTCCGGTCCTGGGGCCGCCTCTTCCTGCCCCTTCTGCCCTCCCCACAGCCGCGGACCCCCCCACCCCCCCCCCCCACCCCTGCGCTGGCTCTGTCCACCCCCGCCGCGGACTCCTCCACGCCCCCTCCCGCTCCCCCCACCCTCACGGTGACTCTGACTCCTCCCATCGCAATGTCCCCCACCCCCCCTTCCTCCGCCCCTGCTCCCCCCGCCCCCGCTCCGAGCGGCCAAACCTCTCCCGACGGCTCCCCGACCCCCGCTGCCGCCACTGCCGTGCCCGTGTGTAGCCCCGCTCCTTACCCCTGCACCCTGCCTGCCACAGCAGAGGGTCCCCAATAGGCAATCATGTCTCAGTCCTAGCGCACCACCCCCAGTCCTCCCAGCCCCCCTGCCCCCACCACCTCTCCCCCCAACCCCCCACCCACCCTCAATGCCACCCGAACGGAATCCCAGAGACCCCCCACGGTGCTACCCCCCCCACCCAGTCCTGCGCATGCTGTGCTGCCATCCCAGCTCCAACAGCGCCTCCCCCTGGCCAGGTTATGCCATGTGTCCCCCCACAGATACCGAAACCCTTGAAAAACACCGCTTCTAAACGCCAAAAAAAGCATAGGACACGGATTGCACCCTCCCCCCAGTCCTCCTCAGAGGAACAGAGCACTTGCAGTGACTCTGATACGATGTACACTGATCCATGGGCTCTTATTAAGATAGAGGTGACTAAGTCTGGTGATTGAGAACTGGCACAGAAAATTAATGCTTTCCCTGTAGAGTATAAACAGGGAAGAAATGGTAGGGAATCCGCTATAAAGACATGGAAGCCAAACTCAAATAAGGAGCTCATGCAATTAAGAAATATAGCCAAAGAACATGGCAGAGGCTCACATATTTTTAGAAATTTCCTAGAAGCTGTATTGTCAGCACATGTCTTACTTCCCCAGGATATAAAAAATATTTCACACTGCCTGCTGACCCCAGCAGGATATATGTTATGGGACAGGCATTGGAAAAGACATTTAAAAACATTATCAGACTCATACTCTGCAGATGCTAATAGAACAAATTTTACAGTAGAACAGCTGGCTGGGGAAGGGGATTTACAGAAACCGGAGGGCCAATTGGAAACTTTGAATAAAGAGGTACTGCAAGCTGTCCCACTTGCAGCAAAATCCTCTTTACTTCTCATGCATGATGAGTCAATGCCAACAATGCATTTTTCTACTATTTAAACAAGGGATAGATGAAAGTTTTATCAAATTTGTGGACAGACTTAGAGATGCTCTGGAGAAACAGATAGAGAGCACAGAGGCAAGGAAGGAACTCTTATGTAAGCTTGCCTTGAGTAACTCAGATGAACGATGCAAAGCCATTTTGAGGTGTGGATACAGACCCTACCACAGAGCAAATGCTGGAATGCTGTACGTCACATGTCCACTGAAAATACAGTGGCCCAAGCAGTTGCTAAGGGTATTGCTGAAGGAGTTTCTGGGGCATATGCAGTAATAGCTTCTAAAGACCAAGCTAAATGCTATCACTGTGGGGATATTGGACATTACATAAAGGACTGCCCAGAAAGGTCACCTCCCCGATACCACCATAACACTTATCAAAGACCCCAGAATCAGCAGCAGTTCTAGCAGCGTCCGGGAAACACCTTGCGCAGTCCAGTGGAGCCCCAGGATGGGACAACAAATCAAAGGCCACCCAGACCCAACCACGCACCATCCCAGGAGGTTCCAGACCACAAGAAGAGGACCCAACACATGGGGCGACCCAGATGGGAACCTGCTGTCAATTGGTAACTGCTCTGTGCATTGACTTTAATAATGAGAATGTTCATCGTGTTCCCACAGGCAAATACGGGCCAAAAGGTGGTCCTTCGCACATTTTAATTACAGGTGACTCTCTTCACAGCCCAAAGAAAATTGTTCCAGAAGTGCAAATGGTGCACCCGGGACAAGAGATTCTCATCCAGGTATACTGCATAGACTTACCATTTTTTCTTTCAAACGGAACTCCAATAGCACAAGCCTTCTTACTCCCAAAGGATCACAGGGAACAGATTCCTCTAAACCCTACAGCTATGTGGGCACAAGTCGTGGGACCATCCAAGCCTACCATCGAGTGCGGCCTTACCTGCAAAGGAGAGAAGACCCACCTACCAGGGATGCTGGACACGGGTGCTGATGTGACCATCATAGCCCGCTCAGAATGGCCAGCACACTGGGATC